GCACCCTTCTTTCTATGCAAACTGCTTAATCTGCGACTGCCCATCGTATCATATGGTTCACCCTGTATTATATACATGCTCGTGTGGGTGACGCACGTGCGGAGATGTAAAAAAATAGAAAAAAATACAGTAAGAGAGAAAAAAGCATACGTGGAAAGACGATGGTGGATGGTCTCGTGCTCGAAAGAGGAATCGACTACTAAACGGGAATGGATGAGGGACGGTAAGACGAGAAAGATGAAACAACAGGGTGAAGGGAGAGAAAGAGAGAGAAGAGTACTGCTGACTGGTGGCAGGAATGCGTTAATGGGCTCATAGAGAGAAAGAGGGAGAGAGAGAGAAAGAGAAGGAAAAAGAAAAAGAAATAAAACCAAACGACGTACGACGTCCAGATGGCGAGTCGTTTTCGCGAAGATGCATTTTCTCAAGCAGAATGCAAGAAGCAACAAGCCCCGTTGATATAAGCTCAAATTGCACGCAACGTTGCGAAACGATATGAAGGTATCCCCACACACGAGCATATAACAAGTATTTACATTTTTTTGATATCTCTTTTTTAATAATATTTTAACGTTGATGGATATTCTTTCTTTTTATTTGCTTATTGATTTATAAAAGAAATTATGTTAAATTAATTCAATAAAATTTCTATATCCATATATAATTTTTATTTATTTCTATGAAATTATTGTGATTGTAATTATTTTATACAACGGTTTAAGGCATTCCAGATTTGTGAACAATTAAAAATAAGTATTTTATTATATTATTTATGATTTTATGAAAACAAAAGAATTTTCGAATGAACAGTTTTCTAAACTTTTTTAAGTTATATAATAATTTTCAATTATTTGAAGAGGCACGTGTAACGGTAAGATAATCTTTTGCAAAATGTAATAAACTAATGTGATTATTTTTAATTTTAAATTAGAAATATTATATATATTTTTTATTACGTTAATCAAACAATCTTGAAATTTTCTTTCGAATTCATAAAAAGGATATCAATAAATATACATACCTATACCTATGATATAAAAATAAAAAGAAGAAAAACAAGGAAAAATAAAAAATAAAATAAATACTTAAAGAAATCTTAGAAGCTCATTGATATGAGGAATCCCAAGGAAGAAGGATGTGAATTGCGTGAGAATCCTTTCGTCTACCGAAGCGAGCCCGTCTAGAAATTTTGATCTCGGTATATAAAATTCCTCAGGAATGGTATGCCCGCGCGTGGGTAACATTCATTCGCACGACCAGCAGCAGGACGATGATGATCGTGTATTAGGATATATATATATATATATATATATATACATGCACATATATGTGTATGTATATAAATACGTGGTAGAGACGTCCATGTAGAAAAAAAAGAGGAAAAGAAGAAGAAGAAGAAAGCTCAGCACAGGATCGTCCGGTTGGTTTCTTTATGATCTGCTGAAGAGCTTCGTCGTAGCAGAGACTGGTGGTGCATTGTGAGAACTCTTTCAAAAGGGGGAAGAAGGTATTGTAAAAAGAAAGAAAGAAAGGATGAAAAAAAAAGCAAACAAGAATGTCTAGTGGTAATAATAGTTGTAGTAGTAGTAGTCATGGTTATAGGTACTAGTGGGTTGTGATTGAACTCGTCGTTACTCGTTACTACGATCAATAGAACCGGACGGATCGTTGTGTAGAATTTATGGCATATTTCGTCTAACGAAATGATGACACGTCGACCACCGGCTACGAGCAGCCCAGCTTTCGAGACTTGTTGCTTTACTACTACCGAGTAAGAGATTATCTTTCTTTCTTTCATTCTTTTATTCATTCTTTCTTTTTCTTTCTCTTTCTCTCTCTCTCTCTTTATACATATATATGTAGGTAATATACGTAACGTGCATGGAAGCGTGCTGCTAAGTAACGTATGCGAGACACTATACTTCGAAGGAACGATCCTCACCATATGCGTTTCTCTTTCTAAGTGATGTGAGAAAATAACGAGGTCTTGTGACCTGTCAACACTATCTTAAGATACGTACTCTCGTATGAATAACGTATATAACTAGAAGTATTTAGACGTAGCAATTAAATTCATACCTTTTTATAACAAATTAAATATATATATTTATAAAGTAATAATAAATCTGTGTATGTTATATTTCAAAATGTTATATTCATTATTTTTTATGACATTGGTCTATTTTCCAAACATTTACTGAATACCTTGACGAAAATAAGATACCCATTTTAATGGGATTAATTTAATTATCAAAACACTAGAATTAATTGTTATATTTAAGATATATTAATTTGATAAATCTGAATAAATAAGTAAAAGATATTTATTCAAGAATTTTCAGTAACTCGATACGAATTCGACAGGATTTTTGATACAAAAAAGATGTGAATGATTGTTATCTCTCTCTTTCTCTCTCATCGTCAGTGTAAATGGAGGACTAACGGAATGAAAATTTCATTCGATGTGATAAAAGATCCTACCATCCTATCCTTGAGGCTACTACGATAGTTACGGTATGACTCGTATAAACGAAATATTTTTACGCCCAGGGCAATGTTTGCCCGAAGGAGTCGAGGGTTGCAAAACCTTTTTCTTACTTCTTCTACTTCTACTTCTACTTCTACTTCTACTTCTACTTCTACTTCTACTTCTACTTCTTCTTCTTTTTCTTTCCTTTTATTTTCACATCCAAACCATCATCCACCCTTCTTCCTATTTCTCCTTACTATAGCGATTCTTCGCGAAAATACTTTAGGCACGAAGAGAAATGAAAAAAAGAAACGCGAGTGACCCTGGGAGTGTACTGGCCGCGTGTATTGCCAAGGGACCAAAGGGAGAAAGAGGACCAAAGGACATCCAAACCAATAGAACGAGGGATGCTGGCCTCTCAGCACGCTTCTAGAATCACTAATGTCAGCAATATCCTGTACACGTAGGCAAACACATATATACAGGAGAAATGGATGCGAAGTATTGCCATTGCTGGTAGAAAACTCAAATACGTATAAAGGTATAAGTATATGTGTATACGTTTTCTTTTTATCACTCTCCTTTCTTTCTTTCTCTCACACAAGAAAAGAGAACAACCACGTATATATTTACATATATATATACAGTCAAATCTTGGATTGCGAGTAACTTGGTTTACGAATGTTACGTAAAATGACAAAAACAAATTTTAATTTGATCAATGACCGGTATATTGCAATACGAGCAATACGACGAATACAATTGGCAAACTATAAACATATACTTATATTTCATATCATTTATACAAATATTTTATACAAATAATTGTTCAACATATTATCCAATTTTACATGATGTATTTTATTTTGTTTTTTATTTTTACTCTCCTATGACGAAATTCGAGTTTTGATATACGAATGCCTTTTGGATTTTTTTTTTCAACAAATTATACTCGCAAATCGAGGTTCCACTGTGTATATATATCTATATGTAGAAATATATGTGTACATTTCGCTATATGTATATAGAAAGTGTGTTTAAAGCCCTCGGCAAAACTGTGTGTGAAACTTGCAGCAAATATAACGATTTTAACGTGGGTAAAGTTCGTTGCAGATAGACACATTATTAAATATGAACGAGTCGTCAACTCAGACATTTATAGATGATATTGAAAATAAATCTCAATCATTTTGTCTCCACGATTTTTTTTTTTTAAATTCGCGTTTTGCAAATACGAACGATATAATATAAACGATCTCGAGAGAGAGAGAGAGAGAGAGAGAGAATTTTTTGACAACGACGATTTAATAAAGATTTTTATTTAAATGTTCATTAAATTTAAATGACCATTTTTCAATTTTAATTAATTTCTTCTCGTCGTTTCATAACGAAAGACTCGTTAAAAATGATTAATATCTCTCGACAATTCGTTGAACTAATAAGATTAAACGTATGTTAGCATAAATTAATAATAGAATTATTTACGAGTTATTAGGTTCGTACATGCAAAGAATAATACGAACAAGTAAGGTAATTAAATTCTTATCATAGTTGTGTACTATTTGCAGTAAATCAACTTACTGACTATTTTTCTACAATGAATCGTATTGATATCAGTGAGCTTGAAGTTTGGATACAAATTTCCCCACCCACCCACTCATTCAACCTCCCACTTTCTTTGGTGATCAAGGTGAAAACTCGACAACGGGCGCACCAAGCAATGATGGGGTTGGGTGGTGGGGGTGCATCAAACGAAATAAAAGCGCATATTTGTGTACTATCTGCACTAAATCAACTTACTCGCTATTTTTCTACAATGAATCGCATTGAGATCAGTGAGCTCGAAGCTGGGATAACAATTCCCCAACCCACCCACCCATTCGAYCTCCCACTTTCCTTGGTGATCGAGGGGAAAACTCGACAACGGGCGCACCAAGCAACGATGGGGTTGGGTTGTGGGTGCATCGAACGAAGTTTCCGAGCGAACGCATTCGACGAAAACAATTCTCTTAGCTGCAAGAAAGAGTGAAAGAGAAAAAGAGAGAAAGAGAGAAAGAAAGATGGATGAAACGAAGCTCGGAAGCGCATGCTCGAACGAAGCAACGTTCTGAAATTTATTGCCACCCACTCGAGCCAATCAAACCGAGATTCTTGCACGGATAATCGAATCATGCATGTATTTGCATACGTTTCGTTGAAAATTTCGTTTGGTTCGATGTACCACGCCCGAAAGAGAAAGAAAAATAAAAAGAGAGAGAGAGAGAGAGAGAGTAAGAAAGGAAAAAAGATAGTTCTTCTGCGATCGTGTGTATGTGTAATACTCACAGATTTGATACTATATACATACATACATACATGCATATCTATATCTATATATATATATATATATATTATACATAGAAACGGGATTATTTTTCTATAGGGTGTTCCTTCGCTTCACTTTTATATACATACGTATATATATACATGTATTGTGTATGTATATCGACAAGGATGTAGATTGTAAACAGAAGAAACGAAAGTGACTCACCGTTCGCGAGGGGTAGTTCGGCTAGTGGCAGTAGCAGTAGAACTAGTAGCGACGAGGATGACGAAGACGGGGTGAATCTCCCTTTCCGACGCGGGAACGTCACTCCCTGCATCCTGAAACAGGCAAACAGACAAATTTATATACCTACAGTTATATAATATACATATATATAGATTCTTCTTATGTGTATATATATATATATATTACAGACATATCCATCGAAGTGGTCGTATATTCGCGTAGTGGGCGCGGTTGGACGACGTTATTTTCAACATGCTTTTGCCGCGAGCATGATCTATTATACATATATTTGTGTATGTGTATATTAGTATATATATGTAGATACACATACGTATTCGATTGCAAACGATGTCCAAGAGGGTATAACGAAGAATCGAAAATATTTCGACGCACGTGTACGTTGTAAGTGAAAGAGTGAGTGTGTTAGTGAGAAAAAGAGAGAGAGAGAGAGATTGTAAAAGGGAATGAGTAAAAAGAGAAAGAAAAAGAGAGAAGGAGAAAATGTACGGCCGGATCCATTGGCTGTAATGAAAAATCGCTCCCTTCTTGAGCCCAACCAACGATTGACCGTGAATTAAGGCTTTTGTACTTTCGATTAGTAGCTTAGAAAAGATCGTCTACCACGGTACATGCGATACCATCGTTTCAATGCCCATGACAACAACAACTATAGCCACGATGAGACCATCTTTTATCTCTCTCTCTCTCTCTCTCTTTCTCTTTTTATTTTTCTTTCTCTCCCTTTTTCGAGATGGGGGTGGAAAGGAAATCGTCTAGTTGCTATCATCAGAATTGTTTGGTCAGACTTGAAGAACATTCTACATTTTCCTGCCGTTATTTCGAAAGCCATGTTATTATCAATAAAATGTGAATGACAGAATAAGTTGGGGAACGTTGGAAAGAAATAAAAAAAAATATCTACAGGTATAATACTACGATCGAACGATATATGAAATCCAATATATGATTTTTTGTTTTTTTTTTCTTATTTTTTCACAAAAGACAAAATCTATTCATAAGAAATATTATTTAATAAACTTTATTCTCGAATTCTCTCTAACACGCATAATCAAAAATACTTCGAGAAAGAAATCAAGTTTCTATATTATTCTATTCACTCTTCTTTCATTATGTTAATGTAATTTTATTCGTCTATTGTGCATTAAAATATCAAGACACTTTGATTTCTTTACATTGAGATTAGTATGGAAAACAGACACTCATTCTTTACTTGACAAATCTTTTTGTTCCGTTCATTTATCTATCAACAGTTTGTGTTGCAGACAAGTAATCACTTTTGTTTATTGTGTAAATCATAATTAACTTCTTATTTCTTTAAGAGTCTAATTAATTTGTATCGGAAAATATTGTTTTACGTGTTTATATCTTTAAAATACAAAATTCAATTTCATTAAAGTATATTAATAATTTCTTATTAATTCAAACACAAACCCTTAAATATCTCGAAATGAGAAAAATTAGATTTATACTATTTTAAAGAAAAAMAAAACAAAACAGCACAAATTAAACTGTAATTACAGTATAGTTAAAAAAAAATATAGAAAATAAGATCGCAATTCAGTAAATGCGACTTTTAAGAAAACCACGGGTTTTACCATACATTGTCCTTCTTTTAAATTTGTACTTATAGTTAAATATATAGAATTGTTTGTTGTTTTTTTATCGTGTTACACTTATACGAGTTTGCGTTTAATACAATAAACGTAATTTTTTTTTTCTCTCATTGTGCGTGTAGTTTCAATATTTGTCGTACGTTGACCGCAAATTACTCGCCTTTCTATCCACAGTAGTCAGAGTAAAAAGTTGTGTTAACCATTATGGATAATACACATGGGGACAAATACGAAGTGAATAGTCTCATTATATCTTTTTCTCGCTCTCTCGTGAACAYATACACACACACACATATGTTTGTACTATATATTATTTACACATTCATATGTAGAACACGAAGAATGTCATCATCGATTATAGATCATCTTGATAATTATAATTGACCATTATTCGATAGTTCTAATAAAATGTATGTAAATTCGTTTAAAAGTACAAAAAAAAAATTTTAAAAAAAATTTTTAAAAAAAATTAAAAAAGAGAAAAAGTTAATTAAATTAGTGGAGAGCAAAAAATGAAATCGTTAAGAGGAACTCATTTTTAGATTTAAGAGAGGTACCAAAACGTCAACTCTCTTTTTTACATCCCCGATCGTAAATATTAATTAAAAACTCCGTGGGATGCCTTGTATCTCCGAGGAAAGAGAAAACGTGTCTCATCCTCTACATTTAATATTATTCCACTACTATTAGACATTTATTCATCTACTAATACAATCTTCCATCTTCCTATTATATTATACGCATGTAAAAATACATATCTAAATATAAACTATCTCACACAAAAATATTTAACTACCAAATTTTATAATATATTCATTTAGAAACAATTTCAGTATTTATTACGGTATACTTTTTTTTTACTGTTTTTGCTACATATTATTAACTCGTAATCTTTACCTGCTTTACAAAATTATTAATCACATTTCAATAGAATAGGTTGTTTCAATAATTTCCTGTAAACTTAATATGCATGTAATAGTAAATCAAAATTATTTCAAAAATTATCAAAATCTTGCCAAATTTTCATAAATAATAAAACAGAACACATATATAAAAATTGACAATTATTATTACATATTAATTGATGTTAAAATTTAATAATTAAAAAGTAAATAAAAATGATATTTCTTTAAAATTAAAATAATATAATTTTCTACTAAATCTAAATCTTCTCAAATATAACTTTATTAAGGATGATCAAATATTTTTCTAACTTAAAAAAAAAAAAAAAAATAAAAGAACAACTGAAGTGTTGGTAACTAAAAAAGTTACGTGGGGGGGGGGCATCGTAGAGCATTAAAAATGTAAATTAGCCCTTTCGACATGTTTAGAAACAAATAAGTACGCCGACGACGATCGAGTAATTTCGTGTTCTTACAGAATTACAAACGGCGATCGTATCCGACGTCGATAGACGTGAGTCACGCTACATAGCGATAAAAAGAGTTCAGTTCATAAGTGGGACGGACCACGTATGCCCAGTAATACCTGAATGGCTGGTTCGCTGACATGCGACACGTTGCATACACGGATGTACCCTATAGGTATGTTGTGTTTTCTATGCGTATATGTACGTGTATAGAACTACAGATGTAGATGTCTTCAAACATAAAAGAATAGAACAATAAAAACAAGAATTCAAAACCAAGGATATTCTTTTGAAAAGATTTCACGATTGTTTCTAATAATAAGAAGTTAATTACTCATACGCATAAGTATGTAAATAAGATTTTTTACTGTAACTTATATTATATATTGTACACTTATATGTAAATAAAAATTATCCTAACTCGTAAATCTTTGAATCTTCATACAACCCAACGAAATCATCAATTTATTTGCAAACATATATTGTAAATTATTTATTAATGTTTTTTATTTTACTTAATTCAATCTTTCGTCAGCAACGGTAGATTTTACTAACGCAGTTGAGGGTGGATTTATTACTTTTTTTTTTTTAATCTGAACAAATTTACTGTTACTCATTGGGATTTATAGAATATCATCTAATGGTTTTATTTTGTTATTACCTACAATTTAAAATGGAAATAATTATTCAAATATGACACTGGCCCAAAAAGACTCGCGTTATCGTTGGAGGATTAAAACTGTCGTTAAAATTAGTATTTATATATACGACACAAGGAATAATTTGTTCTTCAAAAATGATCAAAGAAAGTTAAAAGATTTACAAATTTTTAATATATATAAATATGTAAGATTCGTGAAAAAAAAACTGGACCACTGGACTGACTGGACCGGGACTCGAACCACGGATCTTTCGCTTTCCGGGCGACTGCTCTTTAACCAATTGAGCATATATATATATATATATATATGCGTAAACTTTAGTTTTAAAAAAACCAAAAAATAAATATAAAAATACTCGCGTGAAAGAAACAAAAAAAGAAAAAAGAACTAAACGTACGTGCATTCATTTAACAAGCAAAACGTAACCCAAGCGCCGATATATAAATTCGCAATAAAAAAAAAAAAGAAAAAAAAATAAACAGTGAAACATCCGAGAGAACAAATATTTCCTGTAACGGATGTATCCGATATTTTGTAGAGCATTTTGGTGAACAAATCGAAAAGGGTCGAAACCCCCGTACGTATTGGTTGCATCTATCGTTTTATTTGTATTTTCTCTCTCTCTTTCTCTTTCTCTTCCTTTTTTCAACCATTCGCTTTTTTGTCGTTAAAATTCATCGAAACCAAATAGAAACATAACGTATATGGCAATATAGATATGAATATATGTGTAAACACTATTTATATACAAAATCTTCAGCTATAACTCTTTTACGGAAATATCGAGATTCGTTAGTGGTATTAAAATCTTTTGAGTGATATGTAATAAATAAAAATAGTAATTACACTTAACTGAAGTTAGTTAAAAAAAAAGAAAAAAAAAAGAAAATCTCTCAAATTAAGTATTACCAATTTCTCAATCTATTTCAATAGATATCTATATATAATAAAAACTGAAATAATTTTACATAAAATAAATATAATATAATAACTTATGAATCACTAATCAACGATTTAAAGCATATTTAAATGAACGTCAAAATAATTCGATGATATTACAATAAATACAATATATTCGAAATTACGATTTACGCATTGTTGACCAGCTATTTTCTACAAAATTATATCCTATTAAATACAGTTGAATTAATGCATTTCGTAATGGTCATAATAATAATTGGATTACAATAATAAAAATTCGGGAAAATTGGTTATACTAAAATCGAAGTAAACGCTATCAACTGCAATAATTTACAATAACGATTTGCACAATTTTATACTGTAATAATTAAATAAATTGCTTACATGTACAGACACGAGAGAATATACTCGTGTGATCGGTCAGCAATATATTTAATTTATCGTAAAAATTTTTAAATCTGATTAAAAAATTGTATACTTTAATAATTACATAAAATGTATTTGCA